CGGGCTTCCCCCACTCCAGTCTCATGGAGCTAAATATGGGAAGAAGAGCAAGAAGAGCACTGCAAAGTTCATCGTTATGACAGAGCCTTCTCGCAAAGCGTAAACCCAGCTGGCACTCTCTCCTGCAAACTATTTCAGTCTTGACTCTATGCCTTGTTACAAAAATCCCACTCCACTTAAAGTCTAGGTGTTTGACTCCTGGATGGAACAGGCTTCAGAGCCTGTTCTGCCCTCAGACAGCCTCATGTAAGTCTTCACCGGAGTGGTTGGAGGCCAAGCTTGTGGATCCTCCTGCACTCAGAGACAGGGACGTGAAGCTTAAAGATGCTAAATACTCAATGAAGCGGCACCTACAGCGACAATCAGAAGGAAGGATTGAGCATCACTGGTTTTGCCTATGATGTCCCAAGGCCTCTCTGGTAAACCTCGGGCTTCGGAGGCAACAAGAGAGAAACTGAGTCGAGGCTATACGTGCTGCAGCCAGCAGTACAAAACACTGAAACAGACAGCTGGCTTCAGGCTTTCGTGACTCCCCAGTGAAAGACCACCCCAGGGCTCTCCTCACGTGAATGAACCAGAGGGTTCCAGGTCTCCTCCCGCTCATCCTCGCGATTTACAAGCACGTCTGTTGTTGAAGGCAAACTCAGCATTCATTACAATCCAGCCTGGAAAGGTCTGAAGACATAACATTTTTATTACAAAAACATATAAACATGTTTTAAAATGTATAAAACATATTTTATTTTTATGGCCCAGACAAACTCTCTGACTTCAGTTAATGCAAATTAACACCGCTTGTGTTTCAGCACACTGGTAACTGAACATTCAGCGATGTGGTGGTCTTTATGCCAACCATCCCTTACAAATTCAATGGTTTTCATTGTCTGTTTTTCTGAAGTCCCTCCTTCACCTGGGTTGGAAAAAAAAAAGGCACTTAACATCTGGAAAAATTAAAGCTTTGGAAGTTTGCCGGTCTGATTGCCACGGTGTTGTTACAGAGTTTTTGTTCCTTATAATTCTCCCATGCAGCCCAAATATTAATTGCCAGAGATCAAATCTCAGTGCAAGTGGTTCAGTTGTTTTCCATCATTTTGACTTGCCCATATGGAGCATTCCCAAAAGTGTCAAAAGTCACTAATATTTTTCAAACACTGAAAAGCTCAGAACTTATTATTTCTGTATCAGAATTTCAGTGATCCTAAAGGTTTTTCCCTCTAACAAATGCCATCACCGAGGTATTTCAGCTGGTGTCAGCAACGCCACAGATACTGGGTGTAAGAACAGTAGCAGTGAAAATATATAAGGAGAGGGGCGGGGGGAGAGACAGAACTGAAATGCTCTTGAAAAAGGAAGTCGGATTAATTTTCCCACTGGATTTTTCTTGTTTACACTTAGCTTGAAATCTTGGAAGGAAATGTAATGAAATTATTACTTGGTTATTTTACTTTGAAAAATAACTATATTCACTGGTAAAATAAGAAAACGTTAAAAATATAAACAAGTTATTTTCGAGTCGCTCATTCTCCTACCAGAGTGCCATCTCTCCCTGCTCTCTTTGCAGCATTTCCTTCTTACCACCTCCAGCCACCTTTTCATTCCCCCTCCGCACTTTGTATTATTACTTTCTATCCCAATATTATTCTCCTCCACCCTCTAAAGTCTGTTTCAGAAGCTGGTCGTCACTTCTTCACGGACACAGGCATTCAGGGTGAGCTGCTGTTGTGTGGAACGGGCAGGCCTTCCCTGCTGACGAGCACGTGGCTACTCTCGACCCGGACACCCAATTCACATACATCAGATGAACCCCGCAGGAGCCCCTGCACCCTAACAGACTCGTGACACTGGACAACCTCCAGCAAGAATTCTGTATCGCAGTGGCTGAGTAGGATGAACTCCATTTTTGGGTGCAACATGATCGTTAGTTTTTTCCCTTCTCTTATTCAGACTTAAAGGGGGTTTGTCATTTTTGGTTTCTTTACAATCAGAAATTTGATTTGAATTATCCAGACGTTTTTTATGTAACTATAACATATTACTGTAATATGCTCTTTTTAAGTATGGACTACCCAACAGGATAAACCTGTGAATCTATGTCTTTCTTGCTACAACCCAGCATCCCCAGAAGAGTTTTCAGGATCTGTAGCATTTAATATACTTACATAGCCAACAAGTCATTTTGAAGAGCTCACTAAATTTTCTTATTTCAAATCTTGGACGATCAATTGTTGGACTTGAACACATTTCTTACGGTTTTCATCACCCACCATCAAATAACAAGATATAGTAAAAACTCTAGACATTTTGCAACCTACTCATCACCGGATCCAGAAGGTTTCCTAATTTTTCAAGGGGGAAGGGAGGAAGGTTGTTGGATGCAAAGTGAACACTGACCTGCACTGACCCCTTCTGGAAAGCACCAAAAATGTACCATTGGAAACAAACCTGTACTGGGCTGAGGGACGCGTGTGGGAACTACGTGACCTAATAGCTTTTTCCATCTTGATTCCTATGACTTTTAATCATGCTTGGTTGGAATAGCCTCAGCCTTTATAAGCTACTTGCATGGGTAAGGCTCTGGAGCAGACATACGTGTCACCCATTAGCATCCAATGGACCAGAAAAGGCCCAAAGGACCAGAAAAGTTTCTTTGTAGTTGGAAGCAGAAAATAGTAATACATTATAGGAAATACGAAAAATACCAAAACATACTCCGTTTTTCAGACAAGAACAGAATGCAAGTTAGTATGAAGAGAAAAACGGAGCCGTACAGAGCATCTACAATGTCTAATCCCAAAGCAGTTCAAACAATGCCATTTCTTTGAGAACAGTCCCAAAAAACCTCTGAAGGCCATAAGCAATGAGGACACAAGTTTCTCATCTAAAATATAATATTCCCTTGCTCCCGACCAGACCCACACTTGGGAGCGCAGGTTTAATTTTAATTCAAAAGGAAAACGAGTCATTCTTCAATGGCCGGTGACATCCCATTCTGTTCCTTTAGTTCTATCTAAACTGGACAACCCTCTGCAGTGCTGACAAATCAGAGACCATGGTTGAACTGACTTACAGAAAGAAAATCACTTTCTTTTCTCCCTCGTGTACATGGACATAGTATTCAGGGCTATTTTTCTTTCCCCCTGAATACAAGGGCTTGATGAAATAAACACATTCAAAAATCATCTGCTAGAATTCAGAAATATGTCAAATCTCCAAGCTTGGAAAGAGATGATGGGCTTCAACTCAAATTGGCAAATGCTTTGTTTGTCTCCTTGGGACTCGATGGTCTGCATTGCTAACAGTTGTAGAAAACACTCGTAAGACAAAGAAAACATCTCAGGAGAAGAGACAATTAGTTCAACCCAGGGACTGCAGGTTTTTAAGAAAGCAACTGTTTTCCTTCTTTGCATTAAATTATGTCACTTATATTCCTTTAGAGACAGCATTTGTTTGAAGGTGAGGTGAGCAAGTGGAGTATTTACTGTATCTGAACTATCATCATGTTGCTGGTCTCTACCTGTCTGACCAAAAGCCATAGCACTGCTTAAGTATCTTCATCAAAGTCCTATGACATGGAGAAACTCTTGAACATCCCCTAACCCTCTGTCTACATCTTTACCATGGTGAGCCAGCACTGTGCTTACCAACTGTTGGTTTCTACCCTGTGGAGAGAGTCACCCCTTTAGTTTTCCCCATCACAAGAGGCAAGGAAGCCAGCAGAAGAAATTGCACTTAATTTAAGCCATTGGATAAATTCTCCTGTCATGTTGTTGAAGCCAAACTCCTTCCACTAGGATAAAACTCCATATAAAGAAAAAAAAGAAAAAAAACTAATAAAAATGTGGTATCACTACACTGTGCCTAGCAATGTTCCTTTGCCTCATAAGGAAGTGATCACTAGACTGGATGGCAGTAAATATTTTGTTTGGCTCTTATGTTAAAGCTTTTGGACAAGCTCAAGATCACCCTGCTTCTTGAGATCATTATATAGCATAATGTGGCGAGAGAGGAGGAGGTCTCTTGCGGCAAGTATTCTTACTCAATTTGTTCTCTGAATAACTGGGATGGCCCTGGTTTCATTGCCTGGCATAGAGCAGAAGTTTGGACAGAAGCCCTGCTTTCATTCCCACTTCTTCACAAGTTGAGCATTTAGATCTGCCGCGGAAAGACATTTGCAAACTGGACTGTAACAAGAAGCAAGTGTAACACGCAAGAGGAACGGGGTGGAAGACCTCCTGAAACAGGAAGATAAAATTTTATTTTACATTAAATTTTACATTTATGTCATAATGGATATTTTATACCACATTTTAGCTAGAAACTCAGAAAAATGTACAGAACATCTTGCATTAGCACTGTTCACCACTGATGGAATGAGTGGAATGTCCATCAATGTCCAGTATGAACGTCCATCAGTGCACATGCCTTCCAAGGGATTTTATAGAATCATAGAATCGTCTAGGTTGGAAAAGACATTTAAGATCATCAAGTCCAACCATTATCTCACTCTTGTTAGTTTTGCTCCCTGGATTTTTTTAAGCTAAACCACCCCTTGCTCTTCCTCTCACTGGAGAGCCAGGAGAGACTCAGGACCTGTGGCAGGAGTGTAGCTCAGGTCTCCATAAGACAAAGACAGCACTACCTCTAGATTCACCTTCAAAAAACTTGCCACAGGGAAGCCCCCCCCCCCCCCCCCAAAATCAACAACAAAGAAAAAACTTTAAAACAAACAGACAGACAAACAAACTAAAGAATAAGGAAAACCACCCCAGGGGGAAGATGCTGGGCAGGGGAATAACAGCCTCCCGCCTCCTCCTTCCCCTCAGGTGACAGGGGCGGGGGAGTCCGGGGGCTGCCCCGCGCCCCGTTGCCTCACCGCGGTAGGGAGAGACGGTTGCGTTCGCTGTATTTCACGCTCTCCCCCCCTCAAAATACTGTTTCTTCTAGGCTGAGCGAGTCTCGCTTTGTCCTCCCATCTCGTTTTGTTTGTTTTTTTTTTGCAGTCGTGGAGGTGACCGAGGGCAACACGACCACAGTAAGTCTCTCCACCTTTTTTCCTCAGTATCTGTTCTTGCCGTCGCTCCTCCTTTCTTCAGCCTCCCGTTTTGTGTGTGTGTGTGTGTTCGTCTCGGCCCCCATCCCTCACTCCCTCCCCCGCCCCCCAAAGTAAAAAAAAAGGGCAAAAGGATCACTTTTCTGCCAGAAAGACATCCCAGGGCAGGAAGGCAAAACCAAGGTAGGAATGTGTTGCAAGTGTGGCTAAGCCAGGTGGAAGGTTTGGCTGCTGAAGGTCGGGATCGTCACCTTGTTGCACCTCTGGTAAAGTTGGAAGCCCTGACCAGAGGCATTTGGGACCCAAAACACAAGAGGTGGTTTCTCAGGTGGGTTCATTTCTTAAAGTAGTGACACTTGCCATTGCCTCAAGTGCGGGCAGGCACAAAGTAGCTTTGCCCGGTGGCTTTGTCACTTCACACTGGCCCGGCAACGTGATGCAGCATCACAGGTTGGTTCTGTGCCGGCTGCGTGCCACACACATCGCTTGCCTTTGATCTGTGTTGTGTTTGTTAATCGCTGCGTGTGCCACACTGACTGCAGGCAACACAAAACTTGCATCTTGTAACACGTTTGGTAAGAAAAAATATTCAGTGAAAGGGATATTGTCACAGGAAAACCCCAAAGACTAAAGGAAAACTGCTCCTGAAAATAAAACAGAAGTTCTGAAGTAACTGATAAAGAAGAGCATTTTCTCAGCTATGGTTTAAGACAGGAAATAAAAGACCAAAGCAGTAAAATTAGAATTTTACTTAATTAACACCATCTGATCTAGTGCACTTTATCAAGAGAATTGTCATTTTTTAGAAGAAGCACTGAAATTACTGGGGGGGGGCGGGGGGGAGTGGTATTATTCTGCTTGCATTACCTATGCCAGTAGCAATCTATGCCTTGGCTGGAGACAGGTAGCACAGATTTTTGAAATGTGTAAACACAGCGAGGAGAGTGGAGTAGGAACTATTTGAGAATAGCTAGAAGACAGTGCACTAAATGCTAATCTATACATACATAAATAGGAAGGAGAGGGCAGACTTTTCTGCTTGTTAATGAACCAGACAAAACCTGGTTGTTTGTGCCTTTGAAATTCTGAATTTTCTTCCTGTCATATTTGTATTAGTGGACATTGTTGTGTTTGAAACTGTGTTTGAACTGAGCGAGTTCCTTACATTTTAGATATATAATATTAAGTAGCACTTAGCAAGATATCTAAGACTGTCAACAAAACTGCATGGAGCAAGTTCCTTACCTTTTAGATATATAATATTAAATAGCATATGGCACTTAGCAAGATATCTAAGACTGTCAACAAAAATAAGTTTAAGGTGTGACAATAGGTGTGATGGGAAGTCTTCTCTTCAAGTGCCAGACTAATCTTTGCTCAGAGACCTGAAGAGAAGAGCTTGTAAGCATGCCCTGAAGTTGTTTTAACCAAAATAAGGGGGGAGTGTGCACACCAACACAACACACACAGTGGATTGCTGTACTTTGCCCTCAGTCAGTTTCAAAGGGGATGTAAATTATAATTGCCAAGCCCCAATACATTAACAGAGGTTTGAAGTAAAAAAGGTACGCATTGCAGTAGCAGAACCCTTTAGAAAAATAATTCTTCCTGGCCCATTGTAGAAGCATAAGGGAGAGTTGGATATTTCTACTATATAATACCCTAGCATAAATCTAGGATCCATCAGTGTCCCTCGATGAGGAAAATCTTGTAACAAATGGTGTAAATTGACCAACTAAAGGGCTGATATATTTCTTGGCATATCCTCTGGTCACTCCATTTATCTTACCAAGTCTATGTCAGTCTTTTCTATGCTCATCTTTCTATGTGTCCTTGCTTTTCTCAGTATTGAAGGAAGTGTTTGATGTGAACCAGATGAATGAATCCCAGAGAAATCTGGATTTCATCAGCATACTAAGAATGTAGAGCCCCTGTATTCCCTCTTAGTTTTCTAATAGAAGAATAATAACGGAGTGGGTTAACAATACAAAAGTTCTCAGTAGTTGGGGAATAATTGCCAAAAACTACACTGAAATTTATATCAAGAAAATTTTATATTGACATAGCATTCTGAATCTTTATTAATTTCCAAGATGGAATTACAGTCAAAGTCTGAAGCCAGACTGGCAAGAATCAAGACCAGATATGCTGGCTTCCCAGAAAATAATTTTACCAATGAATAGAAAATTAGATACTGGCCTATATTTTATATTCATAGTTACTTTTTTGTTTTTGTAAAACTGGCCGTTCTAGATGTGGGGGGAGGAATCTTACTTAAAAATTTACAATATTCTCTCTTTTTGAGGTATTGAGATGCTTGAACTACAAATCCATGGTATAAAATAGTTGTGACAGTTCAGCTGGATGCCAGGGTCCCATGCACACTTACAGAAAATGTGCTTTTCTCTTCCCAGGTTTTCAGGCACAGAACTTGAACGTTCAGTCTAAATCAGTCAGCTTTTTTCTTAAAAGGAACATTGCATTCCGCCCAGGGTTTCTTCTAAACTGTCTGGTGTTTGTGCTATTTGAGGCTGTCAGCTGGTGTTCAAAATCTGGTTTTAATCTTAATTTGACCAGAGGAAACTTCCAAAATATTTTGAAGAAAAAAGTTGCTTAGTTTTATTGTCTTTTCTGTCCATACAGCTGCAATTTTGAGATGGCTCTTGCTTCTGTTCCTAAGTTCTCAAAAAAAAAAGACAAGCATACATGTAGATTGATTTCATGTTCCTAACATATCTACATTTAGAAAATAAATTTCTCGAGTTCTTCCCACGCACACCTTCTCCATCTCTTTGCACGTTACTTTTGAGAAAACTTGAGTGTTGGATATCACCAGTTTGTAGCATTATGAAAAAGATTATAAAATGATCTCCTAAAGGAATTGTTCAGGGAATTAAACTGGACAAACTATTGATGTATTTAAAAAAACAAACAAACCCACAAACCACAGACATCTCCTAACAGTCCTTCCTTAAATTTAGCTTTTGCTCAGAATTTCCCTGTTATGTGCATATGCTATTCTGTGACATTCTCATATTCCTAGAAAAATTGTGTTTTAAAGCTTTTGTCTAAAGGGCCACTCCATTTTCACGGCATAGTGATTCAAAGGAGTATTGTAATAAATGGAATTCAGGCAAATATGATCACTTCACACTGACTATGAACTAGTTTACATTTAGTAAAACATATACAAAAATTTACCAAATCGTTCTCTGTATCCCTTGAATTTGTTCTTTTCCCCTTAGCCTGTGATAATCCAAAGTGCTTGGTATATCTATACAGAAGGGAGTTGAATAATGTAGATGCTGTTCCCATTACAACTGCACAATACCTGTCAACATGTTGTGGCTTGAGGGAAAAAAGTGTTTCTCAAGTCATAGGTGCAGGTAGAGGTCTAAACTATGCCTGATCATTATATCCTTTGAATTGTTTCCTAGATTGAAGGGAGAATTGTAGAGGATGCTGAAACACCAACTCCACCAAACCCCTCTGGCCAGTGTCCCATCTGTCGCTGGAACCTGAAGTATAAGTACGATTATGTGGTAAGTTTAATGAAGGAGCATTCCCCCATCCTCATAGCTAGATAAATATTGCTGTCAGATCTACACACAGCACAACCTGCCCCTCTCTGCCCCTCTCATCTTTTTCTGAGTGTGTAGTAAAGATAGTTAACTGCATCTCTGCTTCTCTTTGGGTGGAATATGAGCTTCCTACATAGTAATTGTTTGCCTTGGCTGATGGTGTTCCTGAGAAAAAGAAGGATGAGCTCATATCAAATAGGTTTGGAATTATGCACATGGCCATCTGATCTGAGAAGGCCATATATCTGTTTTGTGCCCAGCTGTCTTTCAGCATTGCACTTCCAGGAGAATCAAACTGGAATGCAACATTTAGTCAACTGATTCAGGCCTGTTCTAACTCCAGAGAGGCCAAAAGACTTGACTAGATCAATTTTATGTCTTCAAGCACTACGATTTCTCATTGGGTCATTGTCCACTAAGGTAATAACGGTTTTATATAACCTATAAAACTCTTGATTGGTATGAAGGAGAGCATACGTGTTTACATCCCTTGCAACAAGAAAAAATAGGTTCAATTCAAGCTTTTTGCTGGAAATGCTAATGAGAAGTTCGTTGACTAATGAGAGGATTACTAACACTAAATGTAGAAGATGAGAGGGAAATCCTGTAATTCTTTAAAACAAAAGCACAACAGTGAAGAACACTTCAGAATAAGAAGTGTGAGATAGAAGATGCAGAATGTAACTTTACAAGAGGTCATTCAAACACAGAGTTTACAAAAGGACTAAGTGCCCCCTAGCAAGCTAAAAACCCAGTACTGGAATTAGAAAAGAAGAAAACCAGACAGGAACATGCTGTTACTAAGATAAGGCAACAGAAAACTCAGAATAAGTTAATGTCAATAGGATTAGGGCAAGAGATACAAATACATCTGGAGGAAATCTTTGTGAGAAAGTTCAGTAATGAGAGGAGAAGAGGACTGAAAGCCACGTTGGCTGCAGAATGACTGAGCTGCTCGCATGCAGTGCTAGTGCACACACAAAAAAGAAAAATGATGTTTTAATATCTAGGTAGTAATGGCAATCTTGCAAATGTAAAACAACAGGAAAAAATAGGTACAGAAATAACTTAAGCATGTAGCCCCAAGATCTTAAGGGAATTAGCTAACAAATATATTACTTCACCTGCAGGATTTTTTTAAAGCATGAAAAAAATCCTAAGGAATCGCCAAATGGTTTGAAAATAGCAAGTGAAATACTGAGTTGAGAGAGGAAGGAGAATGATGTGATCATTACCACTTGGTAAATCAAACATCGCAAATTCCAAGTAAAATGGTATCATCTAGGAGTAAAAACAAATAACCTGTTGGATAGGACCATTTATGAACTCATTAATTATGAAGAACATGAGTACAGACATAGAGCCAGACAAAATACTTGCAATTACTCCAGGCAGGTGAAACAGCAGATGTGAGATGTAACTGAAAGATCAGTTTAGTATCTTTCAAAGCCTGTGCTGCAGAAATTTTAAGTTTTCTAGGATCTGAGTGTTGTCAGTGATTCTGACTCAGGCTGGATGCAACATTAAACAGTGAAATAATTGGGGCAAAGGAAGTATTTAGTGTTCTCTGGTCTGATTTCCCAGCAGTCTGGGAAAGCTAAACATACAATGAATTTGCAGATGATAATAAATTGAAAGAAATGGCAAATACCATTAAAGTATGGCACTACAAAACCAGATCACATTGGTTTTGTGCTGCCCACGTTTGAATGCAGCGATTTCTTGCAACTCTTTTATTCTTCGTGGTTGTTGAATTGTGTTGTGATCAAAACAGACCAATCACTTACACTGGAAAATACCTTCTTAAGGTTAATATAGTTTTATGTGACTTTTAAATGCAAGGAGTCAACAGCATCATTGAACTGGGTAGTTCTACAGATTTCTAGAAGGCGTTCCATGAGTGACACGTTAACAGCTCCAGAAGAACTATAAACTGTTGCTCAGGGATGAAATGAGCCATGGGAGCAGATTACATCTTAGAAATTAACATGTAGACTCACTTTCTACTGTTGCCTGTGGTAGAAGACTGTTGCACATAGAGATAATAGTGCTATCAAGAACCAAAGAAGCAGTTTTAGACAATGTGATGTGTAGAGTCTGAGTTCCAGGATTAGAAGTAGGCTGTTGGTCCCAACAGACAACATAAAGTGGGATTCTTAGGTGTGTTTGTAGAGTGAACTAAGATTACAAGTTATCTTCCACACTTCAGTTCAGTTTGATTCCTAAATCCTGATTTCTACTGTTCAGTATGGAAAAAAAAACCAAATGCGAGGAGAGATCCTGCAGCCAGAGTCTTGAGAATAATTGCTGAGATAATTCCTAAGAAATTGTGGTCCCAAGAGACAAACTAGGAACACGTCGATCCTGGCTGTCGTGTAGTTTTTGAATGCATATGCATCTGGTGTATATATATATCCAGTACTCCTGCTGTAGAGCAGAGGATAACCTGGACAAAAAGCTAAAGAGGGCAGTGTGAACTGTTATTTCAGATTTGTAGAAGGTTCTTACCTTGGTATTTAGAAGCATTGCTCGGTGGGGCTGATGAGAACTAGGAGAAATCTCAGTTTTGGAGTAGACCACCTCTTCTGCTTGAATAAGTCCCTTATATGTTTGAATGCTTTGTACCAGTCATGGATTTTCAGGCTTTTAAATGTTAAGGTGAATAAAATCTCCCTTTTCCTCACAAAAGTGCTCTCTGCTATTTTTCTTTGCTGCAGCTGTGATGAGTAGCAGAACCTTGAAATGCTTAAATAATAAAGTGCAGGCATTTAACTGTGTGAGTAATTAAACAGTGGCACAATTTACTCACTGGTGGTTAATTGTCCTAAAAGTCTGTAAATTGAGAACAGCTATTTTTGTTAAAGATACAGCCTAGTTCATACAGCATCACCTATAGTCTGTGCTTGGTAAGAGATCAGAATAGATGGATCACAGTGGTTCCTTTGAGATTGATAAGCTGAGATCAGTCAGTTGCACAGAAGGGAAAGTGTGAGCTTTTTTGCTTGGGACGCTTGTAATTGGACTGAATGAGGCACTATGAAAAGGGAAGTGTTGAATTAGCCCCTGAGGGAGCTGAGTAATATGACCTCATAGGACTTCCCTTTTGTCATGTGCAGCTAGCACCGTCTAAAGTAGTGGCATAATGAGTTACTTTGGCTGTCAGAGAACTGGGGGACCAATGTCTCCAAAGTTATTAATCAACTGAACATGCATTGTGAGCACTAGGAGGTCATGATTCCAACCTGCCTCAGCTGTGGTGTGGAGGGCTGTAGTTGTCTTTGCCAGTTCAGTCTTTAGTCTCTCGCTGAGGCTCAGGATAACAGAGTCTAAGTTACAGATTCCCACAGTTTGTGGTCTGCGTGTGTCTGTCCATTGAAACCGAGGCCGCAGTTGATTTTTTTTCATATGCATTGGAGATAAAAAATTATTTTCATCGTTGTCAGGATGCAACTGAATTGAAACCTGCATCCTGTTACAAAATGCCTGGAGAACGATGTACAGCTCCCAGAAGTAAGGGAGAAAGGAAGAACTAGACTCTTGTATAGCTGGAAATGATGACTGGGAGCCTTGTCTGATACAGCCTAGTAGTAATTTGGCTACACAGACAGAACACTTCTTGCAGTAAATGAAGCTTTTAATGAATCGCATGTAGCCAGTTAAGTATCCTGCTTTTCAAAGTGTCTGCAGATATTAAAATGTAGAGATGCCTCTGCTTTTTGGTTGCCATCCATTCACAAGCATGTGGTGAACATAGTGTTTTGTTTAGCAAGTTTATCCAGCCCTTTTAGAGGTGAAGACAAAACTTGTTTTTTGTTTTCCCCCTTATCCACTTCAAACATCATTAGTCTGAGTAGGCAGTAAATATGTCATCTTGCTTTGGCAGCAATTAAGGGAACCAAACTGCAAGCTTTGCCTATTAGCCCTAGATTAATTCAATCCAAGTTGTTTTCATCAAATGCTGCAGATTACAGGGGTGGGAATCTGGGTCCAGCCTCATGGGAGCTGTCCAGTGATTAAAGCAAATCTGTGGTTACAGGCTTGGCTGTCCACTAGCACAAAATGTGAATTTCATGGAACATGACGGCACCATGAGAACTTGCCAGACATATTTTTTTTTTCTTTGACCGCTCCACATACTTGTTTGCTTCCCTCCACAGCTGCCCCATAAAGTTGGCTGTACCTGTCTGCTTTCTCCCTGTGGTAAGATGCATCTGTGCAAGTACTGTGGGAGAGGCACCTGGCCTGTTAACTGTGGGGATCTTCAGAAATGGACAAACCTTCTGTCGAGTGTGCAGCATTCGAAGCCAAATGGCGTGAGCATAATTTGGAGCTGCAGCGGCTTGGACGTAGATGACTTCAGTTAAGAAATGACTGCCACACAAGGGTGTTGGTCAGTTGGTGAAACTGTTGGTCAGGGATGATAACAGAGAATGGATTTTCCTGATTTTTTTTCCACAGGGAGAAAAAGAAAGACTACCTCCCTTTGCTTCCCACCTCCCCCTTTGCATGGAAACACTTGATAACAAGGCTGTGACTCCATGAGGCGTGGTGGTAATATGAGAAATCTCTTGGACCACACACACCCTTCACAAGAGCCTGTGACTTACTTAGGCTTTCATGGATGCAAAGACTGGAACGGCCTCAAATTTGCCATCAGCTCCCTTTTTCCTCTTCCCCACAGAGTAATGCAGCAGGCTAGGAGAAAAGTCTAGAAAGTTCATCTCTTTCTAAGCACTTGGAGCTGAACAACCCTTTTTCACTTAGGGAAGTGATATGTTTGTGCTAAATGGCAAATTGAGCTGTTGGTGATTTGGAGAACTGGATGGCTAAAGAAGAGGAAAAAAGGGGATGGAGTCTTGCTCTGGTTTCCTGAATCTAATCCAGCGCATTTCAGGAGTGGCTGGAAGTCAGTGCCCTTGGACTGTTTGTCTGGCCTCCATCCAGTTTCCACCAACGCAGCTGGCACCAACTGGTCCCCTGGTTACTGTTCTCATTGGCAAGGCCATGCTTTAGCTGAGCTGAGGCCACTTTGCTTCCGTTTTAACCGTAGATGGCCTCTCAGGCGCTTGCTGCTAGTTGCTCAGCTGCGCTTTTCTTGTTCTTTGGGTACAACATCACTCTGTATGGTGGTTGATAAGTCATTCTGTATGGGTGAGAAGTTGCCCGACCTGCCGTGTTTTCAAAGGAGCTGGGTCTGAAAATCAGTCTGAATACATTCATTGTAGACAAGTGAAGGTAGAAAGGAAGCCAGATAAGGGAAGAGGGAAATTGTGTGTCATGATGATATTAGTGAGGGTGGGATTGAAGATGGGGAGGGGGAAAGACAAAAACAAACCCACGAAAACCCAAAGCAAACAAAACTCTAAATTTTGACTGCAACACGTGTATGACAGCATCTGTCAGAATCTGTCATTACCAGAAACCCATACTGAATTCTAGCAGCCCCCTTCAGAGCTGAGCTGGTCTTGTGCAGTTGGGGTAGATGTATAATTCCTAGATAGCTAAGTTTACTGAACATGTATTTTAGATCCACTTATGATTGTTTGCTTTTGCAAGGGTAGTAAATGAAGCTAGGAATGCTGCAGGGAGCTCTTTGTAAAAGAGCAAAGATAGGGGGATGGGAGCAGGTCTGCAAAACTGTGAACAACAGGCAGAGTCAGAGTCGCCCAGTGTGAAAAGCAACAAGAACACTTTGTTCTCACCTGTTGCCCCAGACAGGGGGGTGCAAAGTGCTGGTGTACCTGGTTTGAATTCTCATTCTGACAGGGTGTTCTCTGGCAGGTCCCTTCCAGCTTGCAGGCATCTTCCGCATGGTCCAGCTACCTCCGCTATGAACATGTTTATAACAGCAGTGGAGAAGTAAACTCTCAACCAGCCACAAGTCTATCAACAGATGGGGAAAAAACAAGCACAGTCTCCAGAGGCCCTTTGGGCCAACTTACGCTGACATCAGCATGTCAAGGGGACCTGTCTGTATTGGCCTGAAGGGTACATTTGCAGTGGTGCTCTGTGTGGAAATGGAGAGCACGTGTCTAAATACTGGGCTGTTGTACTGTGTACAGTTAATGGGACACTTGTGCAACAGCTGTTACTGCTGTGTTTAAAAATTTGTCATCCCAGCCCTCTGATACTATCTGATCCTAGACATCCCTTTAATTTTGTTTTTATTAAGGGTGCTTTACATTTCTAGAGCTCTTAATTGGAAAGGTCAACAGCAGTGTAATCTAAATGATTCTTCAATCACAGATGAAACCACAGCATGCTCTGACTGCTCCATCCACCCAGGATGGCTGTAGCAGCCCCACCTCGTACACGCACAGTCGAAGGACTGAAGGTAGCGATTTATCCTATTAGGTCTTTCTCATCAGCACATGTTCTTTTCTTACAAAAAGTGTCTTCGTACGGGATTTTGGACCATTTCCCTGCTCTCCACCCCTCCAGAGAGAGACATGAGGGAAGTTCCACCATGGGAAACTGGATGAAAGTTTGAGGAGTAGATAGCAGAGAACAATCCTGCTCTGAGGGAACAAGGAGGGGGCCAGAGGTGATCTAACATATCTGTGACCTTTAGGATAGCAGCTGTGATGGCATTTCAAGTTGTGTAAACACTATCCATCTGTAGGTCTTGTGTAACTGTGCCTGAGTACCTAGGACACATTATCTTAGCTAGAATCTTGGAGCAAGCAACAGTGAGGTAGCGGGGATTGCAGCTGACATCATGTGTTTACTCTAGTGAAGTCAGGGGAAGACTCAGACCATCTGAGTGACCTTACTGAGCTAAGCTGGTAGGCGGAGTGACAGCATTCAAAAGCCACTTGTTGTCAGGCTGCAGCCAAAATGCGTAGGAAGGAATCATTGTTTTGTTTTGCTTTGTTTTCGAGTTCTGTACACAGCGCAAGGGTTAGCACAACACCTAAGAATCACAGCAATTAAAGTAGCTGTAGCACTGATGGTTTTTCCCTTCTCTTGCTCTCTCAGGACGTCTTGCTACTGAGTCAGTTTATCCGTTCTGATGGAGGGATGCTGCCACGAAGGGTCACAGGACTCTGTTTGGAGGAGCACAAGAAGATTGCTGTCTGTGTGCAGATGGCTCACCGTGCAGGTACCTAGCCTCCTCCTCCTGCAACAACCCCTTACTGTGGCATACCCATAGAACCCCTTGAGAGGGGTCTCCCACCCAATTAGTATAGCTCAGTAAGATGGCATTGTCCAGTCACCCAGCAAACTTGTTATGGTCCAAGTGCTGGGACAGGATGATGGACCAGAGACCACTTGTTCTGCTTTCTCTGTGTCTTGGCTCCTGCCTTGGCAGCAGATATTTATCCCTGTAGATGAGTCTACTGTTGCAGAAAGATCTGGGAAGTGGCTCAGTCTCTAGTGGATTAAATACCAGCTTCTGAATGTGAATGCCACGTGAAGACTTTTTTGCTTTACCCTGGGAGTGGGACACAAGCTGACGCGGTTGGAGTATTATGCTGATCTTTATGTCTGGTACCTGATTTGTATCCAAGTGCAGGATTTGTGTCCAAGTTAAATGGAATGAGAATTTTAATAGATTTTAATGTTGGAGATGGACTCTGATTGGACACCAGTGCCCTATGTCCTCTGAAAAAGCCTCTCCAATCAGCCCAAGTGGCTGTGTCTTTGGTGTGTATTTCCTCTCTATACCAAACAGAACCCCCTAGCTTCTCTTTGTCTGGGGCGCAGGTTCAGCAATGACTAAAGATAAAAAACCCTTTGGACTGTACATGAGCTTTTGCTGTGCTGTCCCAGTAGGGATCTGGGTTGGCTGGCTTATGAGGTGTAATGTAACTTCGGGATGCTATAGAGGCAAGGATGCACTGCAAAATATTCTCACGCCTTTCTTTTTCTGTTTCAGGTTTGTTGCCAAACCACAGGCCTTCACTTCCTGAGGGGCATATTTCCAAGAAACCCAAGCTCAACAGGTGAATAGTCTTGTCTTTCCACTTCTCTTTTCTCAGGAATAGACTGGAAGAGGAAAAGCAGTTCCTTATAACTGGGTAAAACATACCTTGGGCAACAGGGCTCATAAAGAGTACTCGTAGCATTTTGGAGAAGGAGGGTCTGTCACAATATTCTCTTAGCAGTCTTTTAAGGACAAAACCGTATCTCATTCAAACCATTTATCCACAGAGGATTAAAATTGCCACACATGTTAAGAGTCTGCCCTGCCTTCCTCAGCTGCACTCGCCTCCTCATCACTAACACTCAGTAGGGCAGTCACAGGACGATGCCATAGAGATGGAGTCACAGCATCACAGAGTAGTTGAGGTTAGAAGGGGCCTCTGGAGATTGTCTAGTCCAAGCCCCCTGCTCAAGCAGGGTCACCTAGAGCAGGTTACCCAGGACTATCTCCAGTCAGGTTTTGAATATCTCCAAGGATATTCCACAGTTTCTCTGGACAGCTTGTTCCAGAGAATCACCCTCATAGTGAGACTGTCTTCTTACATTCGGGCAGAATTTCTTGTTTCAATTTGTGCCCATTGCCTTTTGTTCTGGCACTGGGCACCACTGGCAAGAACCTCAGTCTTCTTTACTCCCTCCCTTCGGGTATTTATAAACATGGGTAAGACACCCCTGAGCCTTCTTTTCTCCAGGCTGAGCAGTCCCTTCTCTCTTAGCCTTTTGTTGCCTGGCCCCCAACAGCAGGAGGGTGCCCAGGAGGGGTACCAGCAGTGAGTGGGGGGCTAAGCAGCCAGCAAGGGCCCATCATGAGCCTGTTCCCCTCTGCCCCATCCATGTTTCCACCAGTCAGGTATTTGCCCTCCACCTGCCCTTCCTGTGCAACAGACTCTCTTCCCCTTCCCCGGCCTGAATGGCCCCTGGCCTTTGGTGGGTGAAGGGAAAGCCTGTGGCTGCCTCCTGCGCTGTGCTGGGCGCTCGGAGGTGCTAATCCCCTGTTTATGACCTCACACTCTGTTTCCATGGGGATGTCAGAGCGGTTTATGAACCTCGCATTAGCAAGCCGTGGGGTTACCAGAGGCCATGGGGCTGTTGCTGGGAGAGCTTAGGCTGCAGGGCTGGGGGCGACCAGAGACTCCTGCATTTCAGGTCTGGCTCTCTGCAGTGGAGATTTGAGGCAAGCTCTTGGAAATGTCCCATGGATACTGGCAGGCTGCACGCTGGGTATCAGTGAGGATCAAATTAGAAGACTCTACATCTGATGCAGCCCTGTAGCCATCAGATACTTCAACTCTGAAAACTTCTTTCCTGTGCCTTACAAGTCTTTGGGATTCTTTAGTAGCTGTGCCTATCTAGCAGCTGTGGGGTGGAACACATTATCTAGTTAGCATTCAGACAGCAACCCTGCATAGCAGGTTGAGACAAGAAATGGTAAATCCTGTATCTTGCTGGAATTGCACCAGGACTCCAGATCTAATGCCTTGACTCTTATAAATAGTTCCACAGACTTCTAGTGAGAACAAAGAACAGATACCTCCGGATATGTTCTACATGCAAGTAGGTGTGCTACACCTCTAAAATTAAGATATTTAAATTGGAGATTAGTATCCAAGCCCTCCCTATTGCATTGCTAGTCCCTCCCTACACCACCCTTGTTTTTCTTCTCCCAGCAAGGGAACATAGCAAGCAGGGTGGAAGCAGAGTTTAGAAAAAGAATGCAGAGCTGTTGCTGAGGAGATGGGACAGCATTGAAATGGGCAAGCTTTGAGGTCTGGGTGGAAACAAGAGAATGGGTTCAAGAAATCAGACTGAAAGTTTTGGTGGTGGGGCCAGAACTAGGCAAGTGAGCCCCAGAGCCAGGACAGACTGCAGGGGTGCTTCAGGAGTGCTCCCTTGGTCCCTCACAATATTTTCTTCTCAGCCTGCTGGAAGGGAAAAGCTTTGTGTGTTGGAGTCTTGTGAAATCTTGGCCACTGCGGTTCTGTGAGAGTTTTGACTGCATACCCCCATCTGTGCTTCCCGCATTGCTCTCTGGAACAGTGGCTGGCCCCACAAAAGGCAGGAGATACAAATTGCTTCCTTCCTTTAGCCTGAAGGGAGGACTGAAGGGTACCCACGTACTGCAGGCATTGAACCATTACTTATTTTGGGAATTAAGCCAGAGCTCTTACCAGAAGTTTCCCACGTAAACGACTTGTCCAAGCTTACCTTGTCTTTGCCCCTCTGCTTGTGTCTAAAGCTTTCTGTAAGTCTGTAGTAATTTGGGAAGTGCTCAACCAGTGGTGCTGCCAAATGCAAGTGAGCTGGCAGGGGAGGACAGGGGCAGAATTGGGCTGGGACTTTTGAGTGGAACAAGCTGCCTTGTTCAGTGCTGTGAGAACATGACCAGGTCATCCTCTAATCCTGTCTGGTGTAACATCAGGGCTGTCCACCTAACTTAGCCTGTCCTTTCACTGCGTTTGTGTCTGCTGGGTTTTTAAGTGTCAGTCCATGAAGGGATGAACAGGATATACAGAGAGCCTATCATAGCAGGCAGTACATGGCACAGTTAAGTGATGTATTTTCCAAATCCTTGAGCTTCAGCTCGTCTTGAGATCGCTCTATTGGCTGCTCTAGTCATCTTCACCTCTCTGCTTAAATGAGAGGTAACTGTCTTTTTGCACTCCTGCTGTAGCCCTGGGAATGGCATTGGGGACAAACTAAGGTGCCCCATAATATGCTTGAGCCCCTTGTTAAAGCTCTTCCAAGACAGGAACACCGGTAATGTACACTCCTTAACATCAGTTTAACCAGCCCTGGTGCTCTCCAGCTCTGCCTGCAATGATAGCTTTTTGTGTGCTCCACCAGTGTGTCTACTCTTGAGTGTGGTATTGAAATATGCTCTTCTGCACCCCATCCCCTCCAAAATAACCCTCACCAGCCACACTTCAGGAGCAGGCTGAAGTGCCCACGTTGTAGATGCTTGCAGCTATTGAATTGCCACCAGCTGCCTGAGGGACCTTTAACCTGATCTGTGAAGGAACCAGAGATCCTGGCACAGCAGCTTGCCAATTGCGGTACACTGATGCTTGCAAAGGTGAAAGAGACGTCACTCGCTTGGCTCTGCAGCAGTCTGGTCCTCCTTGGTCAAAAGAAAGTAGTCATGCAGAAACAAGCCAGCAAACAGAGACGGAGACAAACTGGTGTCAAACTGCAAACTGAGTTGAATAGTTCTCACAGGTGGGCTAGTAGTATCCAGAATACTGAGAATTTAGTACATTCCCAGTCACATGTCCTCTGTTCCTGCTGTCTCTCCCTCTCACTCATCTGCACTTAATCTCTTGCCATCAGGAGCTTGCATTGCACAGAGAAGAAAACTTTGCATACAAAAGACACGGTTCTTGCTATGCTATTCAAAAATAGGAAGGTGCAAAATGAGTAGACAGAGCACCATAGAGGCATGTAGTCTGTCTCAAGACTGTGCCAAAAAGCTTTTTCCAGCTGAAGGACAGCATTTCTCTGAGAAATTTCTCATCTGCACTTTTGTGTGCTCACCCCTTTTGCCCTGAAATTCCTCTCATTGCCCTCCTGTAAGTAGTCTGCTGTCTCTTTACTCTGAATTGAGAAATCTTTCACTTTTTTAAAGAAGGGACTTCCAGGAAGTCACCGCCTCTTCCAGATGTTACCCCACATACTTCTAGGACAATTCCTACCATCTGGGGACAGAAAATCTTACACTGAGCTGAAGAATGTTTTGATGATGGTAAAGCTCTTGACGTTAGACTACACCATTAGCTGCTAGAGTGACAGGACCAAGATGAAAGCCTAAGATAACCTTAGGGACTGATCCCACTCACGCCACCTGAGACTGAAGGAGATTGATTGTGGGGAGTGTAACTTGACATGGGAGTCAGAGCCCAGCACCTCTACCATAACACAGACCTGAGCATTCACTTACTGCATGTGGACTGTGGATGTTCTGTAGGCTCAGAGCAGCAACCCCTGCCTGGCAGAAATCTGCCAGATTGCTCATCCAAATGAAGTTATCTATCTCTTTCGTTTCTCTCCAGTCTTGCAAAGTTCTGGTTGATGCTCCCTTTAGCCAGGCTTCTTCCAAGGTTATGTCAGTATTTTTGAAAGCAGCTTCATCTGCTGCCAAAAGAGGGACAAGCTAGCCTGATGAAAAACTGCTTTGTCTCTGCTCTTTGCCCCTGAGTTGATGTACAGGCCAGCTGCATGGGAGGTGGTCTGTGGATCCTGGGAAAGGTGCTAAGGAAGTACATAAAGAATAACTGAGGAGCTGTGTTAATGTATACTTTTTGAGAGCACCAGAAGAGCTGCTCCTCAGCTTTTGCTTGGCTGCAGTTGTGGCTATCTTGGCCAGAATGTTTGACCTATGTCACAGTCAACCTGTTTCAAGTGAGCCTGCTTGAAATACAAAGTGTCTGGCATGCAGCAGCTATCACCTAGCTGAGGTGAAAATATAACATGCCACCATATGGAACTATCAGCAAACTTTCTTGTTTTAACAAAGGTCAGTGGTGCTGCCCTGCTGTTGATCTAGTGATGTGAAGTGTGGATTTATCATCCAGAACCCCTCTGCCTGCTCTGCCCCTCCAGAAGGTGCTTTTCTGGTGCTTACTCAATGATGTTTTCCAAAAAGCAGAATCCCTGCTCTATTTTCTGAAGTGGTTTTATTGTCTCCATTGTATGAACTTTGGACATTCCCTCCTACATACCCCAGATCCCCCATACCCCCTCTCTGCAGAGAGATAAAAATTTCCTCACTTTGCACTGGATCACTTGGCAGCTGGCCTCCCTCTACCCACCCTATCTCCTGATCCTGTTTCTACTACTGGAATGCAAGAGGAAGAGCAGAATGCTTTGGGAAGTAGTGACCTGCAGATCCTGCCTTGTTCTTGGTCATCCAACTATCTAGCACAGCCTGAGATCACCCATCCAGGATGTAGTTAACATAGAGGAGGAGATTGGGAAATGCAGAAGAAGGTGTAACATGAAAGTGAAATGCCAGTTTGAGCCAAGTTGTGTGGTCCTGGGGGTGGTAGGAGATGTGTGAGAACACCTCACGGTCAGAATGCATCCAGGGAGAACTCGACAGCACTCTCTTCTACCCCCTGCAGTTGGGACACTGTCCAGGTGAGACTTACCATGATACTTCTCATTTCTTGGACTTTAGTTCTTTGCCTTTTTGCTTTCTGCCTGATTTGTTTTTGACAGCGATAGCTCATGAATGTTATCACTTAACTGTTTTACTAGCTATGAGTGGTTTTGAAGAAATACGGCCATTGGAGTACCCACATCATCCATAAATTCTTGAGTCTACTGTCCTCCCCCTCTCTTCCATATCATTTGCCTGCAGAACTTGAATATGGAAAACCATTGAAGTTTACCCCCCATCAATTCAGAATTACTCCCTACGCTTCATTTTCTCATGTTTGGCCCAGTCTGGGGCTTTCACTGTTTCCAAGAGATGATTCCACAAGCGAATTTGTCTTGCAGCCAAGGGCTGTTCCCTCATCCTCAGCCTGAATTCTCCCTTTCATAACTTCCTGCTGTTATTTCTGCATCCGTTTATGCTCCAACCTGGCATGTTCCAGTTAAGTTCTGCAGAAAGAGTATTTTCACTAGCCCGTGAGGCCGAAGAAGTTCTCAGGGATTTCACCAGCACTGTGCAGAGTGGCAGACTGTTGTCATATTCCCAGTCCATATGTGTGCAGCCTACCACACACCAGAACCATTTGGGAAACAGTCAAGCACAGCTGCAGGTCAAACTTCTATCCTTGCTTTCAGGAATGGAAACCTGAATAGCTCAGCAGTTTTCTTTCCAGCATGGAAGTTGTCGCATGGATAGTGTGAACTAACACTTTATCCAGAACAGTCACTGAGTTCAGGCCAGTATCTAGATGCTCTCTTAATGTGAATATACCACTCATTTTCTTCTGACAGGTCCAAAATATTGGCTAAAGCACAACACTGTGAAGTTGTTCCCTTTCCGAAAGGACTAAGGGATGTCACAGACTTCCTGACTCTGGGCTCTGTCAGCAAGAGGTGCTATAGATTATGGAGTACTTGATTTTGAGTGTTCAGCTGCCACTCCATTTTCAGCTTTCTACTGGAAGAACAGAACTTGGCACAGATAATATCCAAGTCAATCCCTCCTCCATCACCTGAACTGAAGAAGTTGCTATGTATTAGGAAAGAGGCAGGTTCCATGTGAACTCCTCATGAATTACAAAGTTCTCAGGCTCTGTGGACACCTCTTGTCCCTGGGAGCAGAATCTGGTTTCACTGCTATCAGCATTTCACTCCAACAGCATGTGGTTTCTCTCATCTGCATGGAAGCTGTGCTGTGTATAGCATGTGAATTCAAAAGCAAAGAGCCAGAGCGGCTGCAGGTGAGCAAAGCCAAGAGGTGTCATGGGAAGGGATGTGGCAGGGAGGAGGCAGTCTTGCCAGCACTTTGATCGAGTGCTTCCTGCAGTCTAGCCCTCTGCCTTCTGCTCTTAATCCAAACAAAAGACAGATTGAAAAAGTTCAGTGAGGGTTCAGGAGTTCAGCCTTGAACTGCACCAACATGGCCTTTGCTTGGGCTGCATGCAGGGCTGCAGTTGCCCTGTGGATAGGTGTCATTTCCCTTACCCAGCACGTGGACACGCTGTGCCTACTCCTCGGTGTTAAGTGGTACCCTCTGAGTGGGAAGATTTTGGGGCCCTCCTGCTCACTTAATAAAATCCATGGAAATGGACTTCATTTGCCATAGAGATTTTAGGTGATTGCAATGATTGCCAGTGACTAACCACAGTTGTTTCTGTGCTGTTTATATCTTGCCTTTTCCCATCAGGGAAGTCCCACCAGGATTCCCATCACACTTTATCCATACTGCTCATTGTACTTTGGAGTCTAGGGATTCTGGTTGTTGACCAGGATCCTACTGTACTTAAGGGGGCAAGCAGAGCCCCGAGGTGAGTTGCCAGTCCCCGAGATTGGCAGTTCTTTCCCTCTTTGTCCAGGGTGAGAGCTCTGCACACTGAGATAACAGGTTAGGAGACCATGGACCAGCTGTATTTGGCACCCATGTGGAGGTTCTGTCCTGGCAACCCTCAGCTGGTTGAGAAAACTCAGCCCATCTGCCAGTGTGTGTTTGTAGGTTATTGTAAGAACTCCCCAAGACAAACCATGTGATTGGATACAATGGGAATTTGGGTGACTGGGCTAGAAAAGGGGGTACACTACCTTACATGGACAGCAGAGTTTGCTGAAAAGTCCTGCGTGCTGGGCTTTGAAGCTCTCGAATATGAGTTTTGTGGATTGTTTTTACTCTCAGGATAAAAAAAATATCTTTCTGTGAAACAGTAGGAACTGGGGTTAGTCAAAGAGGAAAAGGAACTTTGTAGACTGCTCCCAGGCATCAGGCTTTTGCCACTGCTGAATCAAAGTTAAAAAAAAAAAAAAAAAAAGCAGCAAACAAAATAGGACAAGTTTGAGTTTGGGACAAAGCAAGTATTAAAAGCGCTAAAAGCAAATGTGCTCCAGGAAGGGAAAGCGTCCAAATGTCTGTTTCAGCTAACAATGAAAAGCCCCAGCCTGCAGTCCCCAAAGGAAGCCAAAAGCCTGGACCAGAGGGCTGGATTAGACCTGCTCAAAAGAGAAATAACAAAAGCTTTAAAATCAGGCCATTACTAAATCCTCCTTCCTATGCAGAATTGGGGTGTGCACTTCCAGCCCCCACACAGAAACAGAGGGATTTCTTAAAAAGCCACTGTCTGTCTAAACCTGCACGTAGCATTGATGTGTATCACACATTCACACATTCACTTCTCTCCCAGTGAGATCATTTATTATCACGAGAGCACTTTCCCGTAAGCATGTGGACACGTGACCAGACCTACACTTGGCACACTGATGCATTAAAACAATTTGGGATTTTTTTTTCCCTCCTTCACTGTAAGTGAAGTCTCGTGATATCAAAACTTGCGCTACAGACCTACCCCTGCAGCAAGGGGAATGTGAAAAGGATGTGAATAGCCCCCATGTGCCCATCAAATATCCCTACAGCTTCTCCCAAAGGAGCTGCCTGGTCATGGTTCTTTGGCAGATTCCAAACTGGGGACCTGCGTTTGGACTCTCTGAACTCCCCTTGCATGTGAAATTAGAGACAGGAGAGTCTGTCCTACTTCCTGTCCCAATGTTGTTATGTAAGGGATTCCACTAATGCGCTAGCATAACATTAAGGGTCAAAAGGGACTAATTCAGTGCACGCATAGGAGAACAAGTGGCTGGATCTTGCTCTGCGCCATCTCTGAAATCCCTCCTGCTGTTGCTTCTAGGTGTTTTAACTATCATAAACTCCTCAAAGCAAAAGCAAAGCATTTTGGAAGTGGTTTCATTTCAGTGGCAGGAGCCTCCAAATGCAATTCATATTTCAGTCTGTGCTGTTTGGGATTGCTGAGAAAGAAAAGTGCTAGGAAAATGGGCTGCTGTTGTACAGTCTGTAGCTGCCTAGCATAGCAAGCTTGCTTTGTTGTTCTCAGGACTGTGCCAAATGCCTTCAAACAAATGCATTACATGGTCTCTGTCCAAAGTTCTTAATATCTCAAATTTGCACAATGCAAATAAAAGGTAACAAAGCTGTTTGGGGAGAGGATGACTGATTGAGGTTACATTAAGACCATGGGATTACTCAACAGAGGCATGCAAACATCGCTGGACAAAGTTTATCAGTCTGTTCCAAATTCTAATTTGTTGGAGCATTGTTCGTGCAGATTATGCTAGGGTTTTACTTCAAATCTTTATTGTCTGAAAAGACTCTTCTTTCTCTAAGGACCTCTATTCCCCTCTCTACTGGTAGCAAAAGATTTAAAGCCTAACAAAACTCCAGGCCACCCAGCCACAGGGTAAAATTTCCAGTAACTGATTCTAGATCTGAAATCCCCTGCCTGTTTGAAAAGCCAAATCTAAAACTTCAAATGGTAAAAAGCAGAGGATATTTGCCAGACATTGCTCTTCACAGAGATTTGTAGTTGTGATGATAATTCCATTCTAGTACCTCTTACATTGTAGGTTCTGACTTCCTGTACCAGCAAGCTGCAATAGTATTGTACAGAGAATACTAAAGCAAATTTGGACATAATGAAAACACAAGACTAGGCCAGAAACCCATCCCATGCAGAAGAAATAACTCGTTATCCTCTGAAAGTAAACTAATCCCTTTTTAGAGACCTTATTTCTCACAGTTTAGCCTTTGTAATTAGTTTACCTTATTGAGGCCAGCTGGTGATATAACACCTCCCATAGAGACTGGATGCATTCAATCTTGGACTTGGTTGCAATGAAGGAGTTTGGCACTCCAGTTTAGCCACAGGTGGACAACTTGTCAGGAGCCTGGAGACTACACCTGATTCATTTTGTGAGACTGGAAGTCAAGCAGATGCCAGTGGGTTCAGTACAGAGGTGCAGCTTAGAAGTTCCAAAACAAACAAAAATTCCTTTCCAGTGGTTCCTTCTGAATTGAGGGAGCTCTGCTCACGGTTAGTCCTTTTATTAAGAAGTATGTGGGGAGGCAAAGACTACAGTGCCTGCTTCTGCTTCACTTGGAACCTTTTCTTAGTGATCAGTCTCAAACTGAAATGCGTTTGTGTTGTTTTGACAGGTATCTGACCCGCTGGTCTGTCAAATCTGCAGAGCCCATCTGGAGGAGGGGCCCTAAGTGGTGCAAAAAAACCATGCCAGTCGGACACCCTTTGCTGAAGGATAATGTCAAGTATACACACAAGCCTCTCTGTTTAAACCACTAGTGGGCCAGAACTGGCATAGTCAGGAAGCACAGTTGTTTTCCACTGTTCTGCTTTTTTTTTTTTTTTTTTGCAAGTTTGTCAGTATCTCCAATTTTCTTAATCCAAAATTGTCATTCATTAGTACTCTATATTGTCTCCAGTGAATGAGCTGCGATCTGCTCCTCTAGGAGAATACAAGATTCAGCAAAGCAAAGTTCAATGTGCAGTATGATTTGGAGAAAGCAGGGGGCAAAGACTTTTACCTCAAAGCCAAAAAGGATCTGAAGGCTTTTGTTTCATTATGCTCCACGACTGGGTTTGGAAAAGGATGTTTCCTTCTTTTTCTAGCAATGAATAGTGATTCCCCATTAAGGTGTGTTCAACTCAGGTTTGTCTCATATGGGCTTTTGTACCTGTGATACTGTGGAAGAAAAAGACTCCTGCAGCACTGTGTTTCCTTGGGAGTAACAGAAATTGTTAATATCTACTGAAATTAATTTTTTTTATAATCTGTGCTATGCATAATTTTCAGCAGAACACCTGTGGCAGTGGCAGACAGGCACGTGTGCATCTTTTGTGTCCCCTTAAGGATTCCTGGCTTGTGCTTCACTCCTGGATCTAGCAAATACAGAATGGTGGCATCCTTGATGACTTGGCCTGTTTTTTTTTTTCCCTTGCAAGCCCATTTGCCGTAAGTCTTCCGTGTTAGTGATACAGCTGCTTCCTGGGATAGTTTGGGGCTGATAGATGTACGTAATTTTCCATCCTGTAACTAAAAAGGTGGCACCGTTTCTCTCCCTGTACAGTACATGTATGTACCTTGCACCAACTGACCACTGCTACTTGAGAAGTTCTACTTACGGGCCTGGTATGAAAGGCTCATTAAATTTATCAGGCTCATTATTGCTTTGGCTCCATTGCTTTGATAATTATCTAGGGGGCTACAAATCAACACAGCTTTTTTATGTACTACTATGCCACTTAACCTGGTGCTGCTTTCATCAGAATCACCTGCTAATACCTATTAGCATGGACAGGAACAAAGGGTAAGGATAAACTCATATTACCCAGGAAATCAAATTAGATTATAAGGGTTCTTTTTAGCCTTACATTGTGAAATGGAAGCTCTACGTTCAGCCCCTTGAGCTGGCCAAGATCTTTTTTGCTTTGAGAGACAGAGCCAAGACTTCGTTAACTATACTGAGATAAAATCTCTGGCTGACTGTCTCTATTTTGTGAAGCTTTTGAAACTTACAGCCCTTCAGAAAGGAAAAGATTTTTCTTTCATCTCCTTCATACAGAAGTTACTATGTCTTCTATCTCAGGTAGCTCTGCTCACTGCAGCAGAGTCACTGGATTAAACCATTGCCCTGAGATGAACCTGAATGAGCGCATTTTGCAAAAGACCAGGTGATGCCCACAGTTATTTTTTTCTACGGTTTAGTGCTGTGAGCTGGGAAGACCCCTCTAAGTTTGGTGAGACCAAACATCTGAAAAACAAAATACTCTTCAATATTCCTTTCTAGAGTTCAGGGTACTGATCCCTTACAGTATGCATCAGCTTTCTGTCTCTCACTCATGGGTGACAGCAGGCATTCATTCACATTGTCTCCACATGAGTTTTTGTGTAAGCATGGTGTCTTTGTGATCAGACAGATGGCCTAGGTTTGATTTCTGACCTCAGGCTCCACCATCATGGAAGAAAATGCCATTTGTTAGTATCTAAAGGATCTGCAGGGACACACTACAGGGAATTCAAGCTGGAGTTGAGGGAGGATTATACACAGAGAAGTCCTAGAAAAGAATCGGGGCCAGAGTCCAGGCAGAAAAGAATCCTGCTCAAAGTACAGAGGTTTCACACATTTATTAGAACAAGCAGTAAACAAAAATCTCCTAGATATAAAATCTAAACGTTCTCGAGTCCTCATCCCAGACAGGAGAATCACAGCATGAAGGGCAGATCCAAGTTCTTCTCACCACTGCCAAAGTAGACGTAGCCATATTGCTTGGTCATAGGGACATGGTAGAAGGTCAGTCCCAGCCACAGCAGGCTCCGCAGCACCACCACAGTGCCTCCCTTCTCTAGCTGGACCGTCCAGGAGCCTGTGCGAGAACATGTGTTACTGAGTCACTGCAAAGGAGAAAGAGGCAGCGGTCCTGGCACACGCTGTCCCTAAGCTGGGAGAAGGACCGCGGTGGGTTCTGCCTGACAGTGCACAGGGCTGCACTGGAGTTGGAGACTCCTAAAAAGAGGGAAGTTGGGGAGACCAGAAACCTTGATGCCCTTTCTTCTTTTGTCAGTTCAGCATTACAGCCTGCCCTCGTTTCCAGATGTTTGTGTCTGGTTTCACACAGTAGCATGTTCCCATGGCTATGATGGTAATGTCATATGCGTCACAGGAAGGGACTCTCGGACCTCCAGACTTGTATACTTCATCCCTAGGAGAGGCTACAGCTATTCTTGGCTTTTGAGTGGGCAGCAGTTACTCTCACAAGCTCTGCCACCTACTTGGTCTAGCTAATAGCCACAGAGAGCCCAGACTAGCTATAGCAATCCTGCATAGGTATGAAATTTCTTCTTAAAATAAACTTGTAGCATTAGTAGTGGGAAGAGGAAGAAGGTGCTTTCCTGCTCCAGGGAAGACTGGTTTCCCTGATGCAGCAATTGGGAAAGAGGAAGAAGAGAAAGTGAAAAGCAGGTTATTTCATATCTCAGAGAAATTTACAGAAAAGGTTAATTCTTTTCAGTCTTTCTTGGCTCCACCACTGAAGAGGATGTGCGTGGTAGGGGCAAAGGGATTAGTTTCCGCATTAATTTTGCTTTGGCTCTGCAGAGGAGGTTCAGAGCCAGTGTGAAAATGCAACTTCTCTTGGATGCAAGGAGCTCTGAGCCACTGAGTGTTTGTTTTGCGTCTGACACGACAGCCTGGGAACAATGCCGGAGGGAAGGGGGCTGGAGCATCAGCTTGGAGTCAATGCCAGAGGGCAAGGAGCTGCCAGGAGAAGAAAATACCAGTTTCAGCACCAAATCAGTAATGCCTAGAGGCTACAGCCTAGGGAAGAAGGTTCCTACTGAATCTCCATCTGAAAGCAAAAGCAGGAGGCCCAAATAAAAAAAAAAAACAAACCCACGCAGTTGGAGCTGTCAGGCTGTTACTGGCCTAGAGTCAAGCGGTCAGCCTACCTGCACCCAAAGCCAAAATCTGCCCATTCCAAAGTAAGCAGAAAGCCTATAATGCCACTTAGATGGTATTTATCCTTGTAGATAATTTTAGGCTCATCAATTTATGCTATGACTCATGCTTACTCATGTCATGGTTAGCCTGGGGAAGGGCTTCTGTGATTGCTGTCAGCTGCCAGTCCTCCCCCTCCCACTAACTTCTGACTCTTGGCCAATTTTAGTCACATCTGACAGGGCTGACGGGCTTTAACACCACAAGTTCCTACAACAGGTCACCACAGGACATGGCCCAGGGGTTGACTGCAGCTCCTGACACTATTTGTTTGGCCTGCCAGGAGCTGCGAGGAAGCACAGGCTGTTTAGCTCGCCTGGCAGCCAAGAGGCAGCAGCTCGCTGGGCAACCGGTGTTTGCCTTGCTTTGGGCTCTTGCATGCTCACTTGCAGTAATGTAGCCTCTTATGCAGCTGACGGCAAACTACCGTAGTTGAGGTCTTAAGGGAGGAGAGAAGTTGAGGGGAAATGCATATGTGGCATCTGCACAATCAGAAAGGAACAACACAATTCAAAGCCCTGTGAAACCAGGTGTCGCGAGTTGTGGTGCTCACCTGTTACCTATCTCTTCTCTTTGTGTTTCTGCACTCTTCAAAAGTTTCTTGGGACACCATTGTTTCCCCTGTCTACTTCAATAGCAAGTTCCACAGGTCTGTTACACCATAATATGCACAACATAAGTCCTGTGTCAGCTTTGATCTGTTACCTTTCAAAGAACCCTCCTCAGTTATGTGCAAACATGGAACTAAGTGAACAACAAGAACCCCTACCTTCCATGTCACTGAACTTCCTGACAAACGGCCTCTGGCTGCAGGATAGAAGTTCAAAGGAGACATTCACAGTCTTTAAAGACTTGGGAGATTTCTGCACTGGAGAGCTTACTTCCGACTCACTCAGCTCCACATTTCCACTAAAGACAAACAGCTGGAATCGCAGTAAAGCAAAGCACTACTTAATATAGGGCAGGATCAGTAAGAGGTGTGTGCCATCTTTTCACCTTCCTTGCACTACGCCATCCTTTGCGCAGGTCCTAGTTAAAACATGAGCTAGCGTCTTGACAGGCAGTGATTTCACATACAAGGCAACCCCAAGCTCCCATGCAGTCTCTCCAGAGCCACTCACTCATACGGACACAGACTGGACTGGATCTTTGTCGTACCTGGAGTAAAGACATGTATTATGTTTCAGCCACTGGGATTACAAATTCTGACTGGCTGGGTTTCTGACAAAATCTGCATGTTCTTAAGAAACTTCACTACTTGGATAACACGGAAACCCACATGAAGAACACTTCACTACAAGGCACATCATCCAGTGGCTGAAGCACTGCAGACATTGGCCATCAAAGGACAAGCTTTCAAACAGTTTCTTGAACTTTGCCACTGCAAGTTTTCAGCATTTGCTAGTGGCAGTAGCTAGACTCCGCAGAGGGGTGTTGAGCAACAAGTGGCAAGCAAAGAGGTCTGAATGTAATTGTGGCAAATAACTTTTTCCATTTCTTCTTTGAATGCTGAACTGACTTTGCTTTCAGTCCAGGGTTCTTGAAGCTTGAACTTGCAGAAATGATCTGCAAGCCCTTCACCCAAATACTGGTGGTTCTTGCTGCTGCTTTACACATTGGGTTAGGGGGGGGCTGTAAACTTTTGGAAGAGTTTCTCTGACAAAAAGATAATGGAATGAGGAACTGTCATTGTCTTTGATTTAGGAGCAGTCCCCTGAGAGGGAAGCCTGTCAAGGATAGGACTGTGCCTTGCCTTGCTGGGTGGTGAAAGCCTTTAGGGATTATCTAGTTCGCTAACGCCTCCCAACATACTGGAAGCATCCAGCAGCCTGGGTACATGTGACAGCTTGTATGTATATGTTCATGTACACAGATGAAACCTCTGCCCCAAACTACTTACAAAGAACAAAAAGAAATGCCTGGAGAGTGGCAAGTGGGAAAGGTGAGAGGGAAAACAGGGATATTAATGCTCTCAGGAACTATATCTGGATTCAGAATGCTTTTTGTTGGACAAATTTGCAGAGAAGGTAGAGTTCAACTTGATTAAATCCCCAGTCTGTGTTCTGGGGCAATACAATACATGGATCCATGATTTCTGCAGAACATTTACGCAGTGTCACACAGACTTATCAGTCCCTGCAGAGTATTCATCAGCAGTTAACCGCTGATCAAAGGAACTTCCCATGCACCTTCACACCTGACCGATGTAATTGAGGACAGCTCCAGTCACTTTTATGCTAGATCTCTGAAGGCTGTGATGTGCAGCTGCTTCAATTCCGTAGTGTCTGTCCAAACTGCAAATTCTCAAAGGGCTCAGACTTGTCATTTCATGAATGTGAGACCTTTGGGGAATATTAAAGTTGTTTTACTTTCCAGCTCTTCTCTGATCCTTGACTCTGCATCTAGTTCTATGCAAATATGGACAATAAAGTTTTGCTGATGCTGCATAAGTGATACAAGGACCTGAACAAAACAAGCAGGTTACTTCAGAGCAATCCCAACTGGACTGACACAACATAGGTTGAGGACAGGAAAAATTATAAGAACTCCCTGAAACTGTAAAGTCATTTTCATTCAGATCCTGTTTTCAGCCAGAATGATGATTAGTCATAGAGTGCTCTTTATTCTGCAGAGCCAAACAGCAGCAGTGCCACCTTCCACCTTTTACTAACCAGATTACCAGGGACATTTTTCTAATGCAGCTATCAAAGGTGATTTATCTAGTATACTTGTCCAGACTGGACTTTGGCAACACACAAAACCTATTCAGAAACTGCATTTGATACACAATGTTGGTGTCTGCCTTCTAAGAAGACATCACATTAAAGTTCTGCTTGGTTTGGTCCTTTTCTTTAAAGGAAGAAATTAGGGCTCATTATCTCAGTACTTACTTTCTTCCATACCTCACCACATTAGCAGCATTTGAGGAAATGGTCCAGAAAAAAAAAAATAATATTTGAACTCATGAGACATGGAGAAAGTTGTTCTCCTGAAAGATCCAAGACAATTGTATTCTCTGAATCACAGTTCAACTCTCTCAATCTTCAAACAACAAGATGCTTTTTCAGGCCTACCTTTCTTGTAGGAGTTTGAAATAACGATGTCATAAATCACTCTAGAAGTACTTTAATCAGTAGCTAATGAACAGTATGAAATAATAGCTTAAAGTAAATATGCCTTCTTTCCTCCTTCAAGAGAAAGCCTTAGAAATGCATTTAATAACAATATAAAAAGGGATGAGAATTATGAAAATTAAATGCTGCTTTTATCCTTTTTTCTTTTTTTTAAACTTCCTTGCTATTATAATTGGCTATTGGAGTAAAATCATTGCATAGGTAGGTATAGGTCTGTATTACTATAAAAATGCAGAAGCAGGATGCTGGGTTCAAATCCCTTCTAACACTGGCTCAGAATATCCCATCTAGGTATAGGTCTGTATTACTATAAAAATCCCTTCTAACACTGGCTCAGAATATCCCATGGCAGCCCCTGCGCCCATCATTGCTCCTGTGTCAGACAATGTCTCTCACTGGGAAGCTCAAAGCATCAGTCTGTAAAGTACACCAAGACTCCCACATAAAAGTTGTCAGGAAAAAAAAAATTAAGTTATTATTATTTGCATTGGAGGGAATACAACCAGAACTAGGAGACAGCAAGTAAAAGCTGGCTTTCCTAGAGTTAGTTAAATACTGATTTTAACTTGCATCTACATGCAAGCTGTAACCTGTATTGTCCCTAAATCAGTCAGCAAAGTTAACTGCAGCCATCATGCAAAGCTCACTGAGGTGCAGAGAACTGGAGGTCATTACTCTCAGGCTAGAGATTTCTCACAATAGCACAGCTCTGGTGAGGTTTCCATTCTTCAAAATA